AGAACTATGCGAAAAAGAATTCAGTTTCGAACTCGGTACATAAACTCGATAGTAATTGTTATTTAAAAACAACATATTCGTTATTAATACATACATAATTTGATTGAAGTAATCATTACATTGAAACAACTGATTCGACATCGTTACTCGATTCACGATATTCTGAAAATCAATGCTTGAGATTTTGGAATTGCATACATCGACTACGTTCAGTAGAATGTTTATTTTGCAATGTTGAAAGTTTTCTTCACGCTGATTGGATTATACTTTCAGATCCAGAAGAATAGTCCTATCTCTGCAGACAATCATAAAATGGCAAAACTTGTTGTGTTTTGCTGCAAGCAGCATCGTTTTTTGTATTGTGAAAAAAATTAATCATAAGATTAATATTTATATTTGATTAAAAAATATCTACAAATATTTATCGCGTTTAGAGTATACAATTTATTCTTCTATGGCAAAGGGGGGTCACAATAAGGGATTTCAGGAAGAAAATATGATATCACTGTGAGATTTGTTAACAAAATAATTTTAAAAAATTAAAAAAAAAGTGTTGCAATCTTTTAGACTCTGTGACTATACAAATTAGCATCAAATACAAAACATATTAAAAAATAAAATAACTTAAGTGATCCGCATTTGGCAACTTCATATCTCTCCAATTTTTTTTGTGTGTTCGATTTGATTACGTCATTTATATATTTAATATCAAATTTATGTGCGCACATGTTTTTGGATACAAAATTGATATTAAATATTGGTTACAATTCAGTTATTATATTGTACATTGTAAAAAGCAATGAAAACAATATTTTTTTATAATTATTCTTTGATCCTTTTTAAATAATTGAAGTTTTAATATATATAGATGTATATATGTAAATAAATCTTTTATAAGTAACTATAATAAAAGAATAACGTTAATAATATATAATAATTCTAATGTCAAAAACTTCAAGCTCTTTTAATATAATTTATTATATGCTTCAAATGATATTATTCAATGTATAATAAAACTTTTTAAATCGAATACGAACATTAATCTTATGATTAATTTTTTTTTCAATACAAAACGAATGTATGCGATTCTAGAGTATTGATTTTTCAGAATCGAGTAAAGCCCTGAACACAAGGGAGGCGATAACTTCGAAAGCGATAGTGACAGCAGAGAGAAACTTCAAAGGAATTCAGCATTCGGAAATGCATATGTTAATACACACAGAATAAAACAATAGCAATAAATTTCCGACAAGTTATTTCTGTATGATTTTATTGGAATTATTTCTATACTATTTCTATCGCTGTTGCTTTGCTTCGTGTCTAGAGCCTAAAAGTAAGGAACCGAAATAACAGAACTAGGAGGAACAACTGAGAAGGAGAGAAGGAGTAAGAAAGAGATCAAAGATCGAAAAATATCTTCGAAAGCGATTTTGTGTCGATCTGCTTATTCAAATCTTTTAGATATTAAATTATTCATTTGAGCAAAAACATCTAGCTTAAATTTCATCTAGCCTGTATTCCGTTGATATATTATTTTTGTTCTTAAAAACCTTACTATTATTTAAATTAAATTTTTAATAATGTACTTTTCCTTTTTGTGCATTTATATAATAAATTATATTCAATAATTAATTATATTCTGTTTTACTGCAGAAAACTCTGTCCTAATATATGTCATTGGTAGATTTTAATAATTTAAAAGTTCTACTGATTCTATTATATTTTAAAAGTTCTACTGATTCTATTATATTTATACATATAAAATCAGTGACTTGCTTAAATTATTAATGCTAATGCAAAAAATAATGTTACCGCAAACTTTAAATTTTGCATTATTTATGAAATGATCGAATATTTTATCCAATGATTCGAGGGCATGACAATTAATATTTTATGTTATATATATCTATATGAATGAAAAATTCATAATTGTATATAATAAAATATAAAAAAAACTTATAAACGAGTAAAATAAATGTATATTTCATAGTATCTTTAATTTTACAATATAAAGATGGAATATTTCGACTTCAATCATCTTCAACCATTATAAAGATTCAATCCATATAAACGCATTATAAAATAATATAAAATTAATATTAGATTTAAAAGGTTTTTTAATTCTACAATGAACAAGGACATATAATGCACAAGAACATTAACAATAATAATGTTGAGACTAACAAATACATAACTATCCTGTAACTGTGATAAACAAAGAAAAATATCGTGGATAAATATCTTAATAAATTAAAAGCATAAAAAATAGAGCTATTTTATCGACAGACAATAACGTTATATATAAAATGTATTACTGTGATTGTAACATTTCTTATATGGAACAAAGACAAAATTAAAATGAAGATTAAACAAAATATATCAGAACATTAGAATGGATTTATCCAAACATTCGATCATCTCTGAACAATGGAGTTTAATCATAAATTTGAATGGAATTACGTTAAAATCATAAATTTGAACCGAAATATTACAAAAGATTAATCTCGGAAGTTTTATACATTAAAGAAAACAGTCTTTTAAAAAAAGGTACGGAACTGTTGGATAAATCATATATTTTGATATTATTGAAAAATTAAAAAAAAGTCACATAAATATACATATCTTTAAAATATATATATATCTATAAAAAATATATATATATCAAATATATATATATATCTTTGTCTATTATGAAATAAATTCATTTAAAAAGAATACATACATATACAATTAATTCAACATCTAATTTTGACCGTCAAGTGGTGCTTTTCGTAGTTTAAGTGACTCACATAAAACGATCTTATTTCCAATTATAGAAAATTATTGTTATAGAAAATTATTATAGAATATA